AGTGATAATTAGGTCCATTTTAAAAGGCAAAGTTTTGCTAGAAGCTTCTGGCCAGGAAGAGGGGCTCAGAACGCACTTCCCATGATCCTTTAAGACCCTTGGTCTGTGCCTTCTCTCTTCCCCTCCTCCTACTGAATCCACCTTTGTAGCTACAAAAAGGTGAAGCCAAATCAGCCAGCAGAGTGACCCCCGAAGCCTGTGTGTGCAGCACTCTGCCCCTGTCCTCCCCCGCTCGCCTCTGAAAGTTGGGGAGCACGCTTCGGCTCTGTTCTAACAGTGGCCGTGGCTCAGAAGTCCTGCTCTTGGCTGCTTCTTGCAGGCTCTGAGAGTCTGGTAAAGTCGGGCCTCTTGGTTTACCTGCCCCTCCCCTGGTGATCGCTGCCCTTCTTTCCCATAGTGAGCAGTGGACCTTGGACTGCTCAGTTAGAAAAAGCCCTCTCCAAAGCTCAGCCTGCGTCTCTGGCCAGAACTGAAGCCTGACTCCTGAGAGCCAGCAGCTTTGGAGCCCCTGAGGCGCAGGGGCCGCCGAATGGGCCCTGTTTGAACTCAGAACCTCTCAGCCCAGATCAAGGGCCTTGCCCTCGCTGTTGCTCAGAATGCTCGCGTTCCAAGGTTCTTCAGAAAGATTTGGGGACAGGGAATGACAGCCGAGTGATGGAGGTTCCCTCTGGCTTTGGGTCCGAAGGGCGACGGGCAGGGCACGCACATTCGTGGCACCGCCTTCTTCGCTGAGATGGAGGGGGAGAGGAAGGAGCAGAGAGCTCCTGCCATCCCGGGCTTCTCCCTGGGGTCCACATGTGCCCTCTGTGCCTGGGGCTGGAGCTTTCCACTAGCACTCTCTGGGTGCCCCCTGGAATCCTCCCTCAGCAGGCCGTGAGCATGCCTGCGTGGGCACATGTGGTCCTGCTCTAGGGCTGGCTTCTTGGCTTCACCCCCTGGGTGACTGTGGCTAAGTGCCTTCCTTCCCCAGCTCATGCAATGACGTGCTTCCATCACAGCCTGCCAAGCAGGGCTGCTTGCTGTCCAGGCTCCTCTGCTTTGCAGACCCCACGTCTGGGCAGAGATGCTTGGGCTGGGGCTGCCAGCCGAGCTGGGTGACTTTAGGCAATCCCACCGCCCTCTCTGCCTCTGCTTCCTTCTTTGTAAACTGAGGCTTGTGGACAAGCACTGGGCTCTGGGTGTTCTCGCCATGCGGACGATCTGACAGTTAGTCCAAGGAGGTGAAACCAGCCGCCCCTGCTCATTCCATGGGGATGATCAGCCTAGACCTTGGGGATGCTACCCCTCACCCTGGCCTGGGCCCTGTTGCCAGCCCGGTGGAGAAAGGGTCAATTACAACATGTGCCCAGATGAATCCATCAAGGTGGGCCATGGCAGGGGCAAAGGGAAGGCAGAAGGCTCAAGGAACTTTTGGGGGGTGGGGGGTGTCAAGGAAGGCTGTCCTCTTGGGGAGGGGCCCTGAGCTGGGCCTGGAAGGAAAGTCAGCATCTCAGCAGCCAGTGACATGGCTGGTCAGTGGGGCCGTCTTCTCGGCCAAGGGCGCCAGCTGCCTGTGCCCGCTCTGCCCCCAGCTGCCAGGCGGACGGGTTTGGTGTAGCTGCTGCTCCCATGTGGGTCAATTCCCTGGCCTTGAGAGGGTTATGAAAGACTCTTGCCTAACCTGTTTGCTCTCCACAGGCAACTCATTCACCCCAGCCCTGCCCCTCCAGTGTCTTGACTCACCAGATGCATTTCTCAGATGACTTCCACCCACAAGAGCCAGGGGTCCCATTACGCCACCCATCCCTGCCTCCATGCTCAGTTAGGTTCCCACTCCCGGCTCCTTCCTGGGCTCCCCTCCTCCAGGAAGCCCTAGCCGGGGCGGGGTGGGGGGGGAGAAGGGCATCTGTTGGCTAGAGCAGGGACTCCTCCAGGGCAGGGATATTAGGCCATGGACTCCACCTGCCTCATTTTACAAAGAAGGAAACTGAGGCTGAGAATGGTCAAGTGACTTGTCCAAGGTCACACAGCTAGCAAGCGTCTGAGGCAGGATCTGAACCCAGGTCTTACTGACTCCAAGCCCAGCACTCTGTCCCCTCTAGCTAGCTTCTCTGACTCCCTCCATGGCGATGCCAATCACATGGCTTCATTGGGCATGTGTGAAGGATTGACCGCCAAGGAGCAGAGCTTGGGTGGGCTCAGGGGGTGGGTTTCTGCTTGTCCTCATGCAGCCCCTCACTGCCAGACTCTCCCAGAGGCATCCCCATGACCCCATAGGTTCCTCCCTCAGAAACAGTCAATGGCTCCCCATTGCCCAGCAGATCAAGCTTAGGCTCAGGGCTACTTTCCAAAGCCTTTCGCCACCCTGCCCTAGCTCATGGTGCTCACCTTCCCTTCCTCCGTTGTCCATTTACACTAGATTCGATGACTTCCCTTCTCAGGGTCTGTGCTTTCTTCTCCGGCCCATCTTTGGAAGGTCCCCTCTGTCAGGACTCTGGCATTTATCAGATGCCTCTCATGGGCCAGTGCTGGGGGAGATGTTTGTTTCTGGCCTCCCTGACCCCTGGGGGTCCCAGTACATCCTGGAGGCTCCGAGAAGCCGAGGGGGTCAGCCCTGCCAGGACTGACCAGTGCTCTCTGCAGTGGCCAAAGGCTGCCTTGGAGAGTCGGGACGCTGCTCGGTCCAGCTGACAAACGCCGGCAGAGTCAGCAGCCTGGAGTCTAATCTGGCCTCTGCTGTGTGGTCCTGGACTGGTCACTGACCCTCTCTCAGGGGTGGTTAATTGTGCTCTTCCCACCTCTTCCCCTTAGAATCCCAGTGACCTTGGGCAAGTCACCCAGTTGGGTGGGGTTCATCTTCTTCTGCCTAAAGAATCCCCCTGCCCATCTCTTCCTCCTTGAGCAAGTCTTTTCTCTCTGAGCCTCAGTTTTCCCTTCTGTAAAATGAAGATCCTGGGCTCACGATTTTAGAAAGCGCCTCCCACCTCCATCATGCTCTTGGTTAAGCAGAGCATGGCACCAACTTTGGCTCGGCCTGGGGTCCCAAGGCCTCTCCCTGTCCTTTCCAGCCTTCAGGGCCTAGCTCTAGCTTGTCTGAGCCATCCGACCTTCCCTGCCCCGCCCCCCACATTTGACAGTAGGAAGCTCAGGCCTCTGCAGGGAAGAGATGTGGCTGAGCCAGGGTCAGAGCCCGGGCCATGCTCCTGGGTACCAGCCTCTGCCTCTCCCTGCCTGTGGGAGATGCCCAGCAGGGAACTGGGTGCCCTGTCCTGACACACTGCGCTGGGGAACAGAATGCCAGAGAAGAGGCCGGCCCCAGCTCCCAGGGAGCTCTCCCTGACCTACTTATGGCCTGGCCCATCTGATCTGGGCTCCCAACTCCAAGCCCTAGCAGGCTTCTCTTTCCCAGCCCCACCTCAGCCTACAGCTCCCAGCCTGGGCTGCCAAGGGCCCCTCTCTGGGAATCTGTGCCAGGCCGGCCCCAGCTCTGACCCTCCCAGAGTGGGAATACCAGAGCCGAAGGAGGGGGTTCCAGCAGGGTCTCCGCCAGCCTCCCCGAGGGGTCTGGGCTGTAGCAGAAAGGCCCCTCGTGGGGATTCTGACTGCTGCTGACTTCCATCTACCTCAGCAAGGCAGTTTGCTCTGAGAGGGTTTGGCTAGGTGGCCTCCAGACCCCCTTCCAGAGCCAAGTCTCTGGCCTCGTGCTCTCTTGAGACCTCCTCTTCTGTAAAGCAATGGGAGCAAAGAGTTTGAGGTGGGGAAGAAAACGAAGGGGAAAGGACTTGTCCAGGGTCACTCAGCTTGAAGGGCAGAGCTGGGATTTGGCAGCCTCACTTCATTGTGGTTCCCATGTGGCTTTTCCTGGCCCTCGGCCTTCTTGGGGGAAGGGGGGAGGTTGGGTTGGGCTCCCCCCATCCCAGGGCAGGGGGGCCCCCAGGAAGCTGACCTGGGAATGGCCTGGTTGGGACTCCCAGACCCTGGACCCCCATTCTGCCTCTGGCTGGCAAGAGGCCTGGTAGGAGGGTCATGAGTGCTCTGGCCATCAAAGGACCCGGATTCAAATCCCAGCTGTGCCTGGGTGAGCCCTGGGAAGGCTAAGCCTCATTTGCCTAATCTTTAAAATGGATGGGTTGAACTGGATGGCCTCTGGGGACTCTCCCAGCTCTATGGGGGGGGGTCTTGGCTCGGACTGAGGGAGAAGCCTATGGCTGATGTTTGTAGCCGCTGAAATCCAGTGGTAGCAATGGGCAAACAGGAGGAAGAGCCAGATTCTGTGTCTCTGGCACCTTCAGGGTCTGAAGCGCTTTCACCCAGAGCCCTGGGGTAGTCAGTGTTCAGACTCATACCCATTTTGCAGATGAGAAAACTGAGGTACTGAGGATAAGGGAGGTCCAGCTCGGCTCTGCTCAGTCACCAGCCTGGTGGAAGGGGTGTGGCTAATGTTCCTTCAGCTCACCTCGTTGGGGGTGGTTTTCCTCTTCCTTGACTGGGGGTGTCCTTGGTAAGGAGCCCCCGGCTTGGCTCTCACAGGCTTTAGTTATTGGGTGTGGCCAAGCGGCCCAGAGCCCTCCCCTCCGGGGCTTGTGGGTCCTGGTAGGATGGAACCCCGGGGCTCCCCGGGCTGCTCTCTCCTGGGCCAGCAGAGGAAGCCAAGGCGTGTTCAGAGGGGCTGATGGGACTCCACGTTGGGGAGGAGGCCCCACGCCCGGGACCTCTTTTCTCATCCCCTTGGGAGTGGGTTTTTATGGGTCATGGCTATCTGTTCTGTGAGAGCAGCCCCAAGCTATGGTGCTGAAGGTGCTGGCCAGGGCCTGGGTCTGAGGAGGCCCCAAGTGCCCCCAGCAGCCCCAGGGGCTGGGCTTGAGGGAGAGGCAGTTCAGCCTCTGGGGCCTGGGGGCTCCTCCTCAGCCTTTGCCCATGTCTCTGGCCCCCTCCCCCTGGGGCTGCCTGGGAGGAGGGGGCTTTGACCGGGGCAGCATAACTTCCCAACTTACATCCCCTTCTCTGAAATCTTTTTACAGCAGATCATGGGGACAAACACCCCTCCAGAGGATCTTGACGGGTCTGGTGATGATGACGATGCCTTCTCCGGCTCTGGGGCGGGTGAGTTTCTCATTGCCCCAGGAGCCGGTACATCTCTCCTCGCCCCCCTTCCAAAGTTGGGGTGTCTGACGTCCTCCCTTAGTCACAGGCTCACCAAGGGTCCTTGTAGGGGGCTTCTCATTCCAGATCCAGAGAGTGGGAAGGGGCTAGTCTTAGGTAGCAAAGCCGGAAGCCCAGAGCCTCTGAGCTCCATAGACTGTGAGACCCACCAGAGAAGATCCCAGAGTGAGGCCATCTCCTGTCCTTTAGACAGGGAGGCCAGGGAGGGGTGGGCATCTGCTGTGGGCCAGGCTGGGGGTGTCTGTGAGCAGGGAGGCATGGCCCGGCTTGTCCTCCAGAAGCTTACACTCTGGAGAGGCTGTGTGGACCGAGGAAACATAATCGGCAGCAGAAAGACAGCGTGCATGTCCTGGGAGGGCCCTTTGAACAGGGAGCGGGCGATGTCAGAGTTAGGAGGGCGTTTGGAACCCAGAAGCCAGAATGGCAGCCAGGTCTGGGGCTGCAGACTTTCACTAAGTAAGATGCACTTTTCTCATGCTCATTCCTCTCCAACAACTGGCTGGGCTGCCTTTGGAAGGTAGTGAGCTCCCCCTCGTTCAGGTCTGCATCCAAAGACCCACGCCCTGCCCCCATGCTGCTTGTGGTCCATCAGCAATAATAATGACAACAACAATAATAATAATTATTATTCCTGACAACACCTCCTGTTTCTAGAGCATTGGGAGACTCACAAAGCATTTTCGGGGCCACAACTTGGGGGTGGGTAGTTTGAGGATTGTTCTTCCTGTTGTACAGAGGAAGAAAGAGAGTCTCAGAAGAGGGAAATGGCGTGGCCAGAGTTCCACGGCTAGGAAGTGCCTGGACCCAGACTGGAACCCTGCTTTCCACTGAGGGCTTGGCTGAACCTTTTTTAAAGCCATTTGCACTGACGTATTTGTTTGTTTGTTTTTTGGCTAGGCAATGGGGTTAAGTGACTTGCCCAGGGTCACACAGCTAGCGAGCGTTAGGTGTCCGCAGCGGGATTTGAACTCAGGTCTTCCTGACTCCAGGGCCGGTGCTCTATCCACTGCCCCACCTAGCTGCCCCTACACTGACTTATTTGAAGGCCCTTTTCTGTAGGGTATTAGGGTTTGCCAACCTTTCCCCCCTCTTATTCGGGCAGGCATTTTATCCCCCGCGGCCTGGGAGTGACTTTCCCCCAGGTTGTCTTTTCCGAGTCAGCCGGGCCATGCGCAGCCGCAGCCACGCACCCGCTGCCTGCTCTGGCTTACTTACCGGGGCTGCGGCGTAGTGCTCTGTCCCTTCCGCGTCATACTTGCGCTGGCGGCTGACTGGCCCCTTGTTCTGCAGGGGCCTCTCTGGAGACGCCGCTGTTGGACCTGCGCCTCCTGTCCAGGAAGACGGCTGTGCTCACCACCACCTTGACGGCTGCTCCGGCCGAGCCCACGCACGCCAGCCCAGGGCAAGCATCCGCAGTCGAACGAGAAGCCTCGGGAGAGGGATCAGCGGGCCTGCCTGGAAGGGGGCCTGAGGCAGAGTCTGCCCCCAGCCACGAGCCCACCCACTCATCTCCTGCAGTGACGCTTCCTTCCACCGCCCACCGTCCTTTGACGGTAGGAGCCACCACGGCCTCAGATCCCAGCGTGGTGGAACCAAGGGTGTCTACACCCGAGCCCCCGAGCTCTGGAGGTGAAGGCCCCTTGGCCAGTGGCGCTCCAGAAAGTGACGGCCAGCCGGACAGAGGCTCAACTCAGCATCTAGGAGAGGAGAGCTCAGGAAGCGGGGCAAGTATTCCCGCCGTGGCCACGGGGTAGGGGGACATTAGGGGTCTGAGCACCCCGGAGACAGTGCGGAAGCGAAGAAGGGCCCTCCAGCTCCTTCCAGGCACTGAGTGAGACACTGAGGTCCTGGCCAGGCAGCGATTGCCCAGGGATCTCCCAGGCATGGGGGGCCCTGACCCCGAAAGCCACCCCAGCTCCTTGCTGTGTGCTCTGCCCTCCCTTAGGACAGAACGGAGGCCTGCAGGGGTGGGGAAGTTTGCACGCAGGCACAGCCTCTCCCCCAGTCTTCTGGTCCTCCTCTTACCCCCTTCTTGAGCCCCAGACCGGCAGGAGAGAATTAGGTGGGTGCTGGGACAAGCTTCTGAATGATCCGACTTTGTCCAGAGGGAATGGCAGTCCCAGAAGGCCCTCGCTGGAGGGCTCTGTGTAGCAGCTGCAACCGCTAGAGAGGCTCTTGTCTCGAGCTGAGGTTGGACTCCTGGCCTCTGAGGGCCCTTCCAGTGAGGAGGGAGCTCTTCAATGGGAGCCTCCTGGGAGAGGTTGCCTGTGCGGCCACACCTAGAGGATGAGGCAGCAGACAGGAGGAGTCAGAGCCTCAGATTTGGGTGGGCTTTCAGCTTCACATCTGCTGAAGGAAGGTGACAGGTGGGAAGGACCAGTAGGAATGGGTGAAGAGGTGAGTGCTCTCAGGAGGGAGGCACAGCCTGAACAAAAGCCTGGTGGTGGGAAAAGCGGATCACGGACAGGAAGAAGGCAGAGCTCCCTCCTTGAATGAGGTTCTTGGCTCTGCCCTCCAACCAGAGGGGTAGAGGGCTGATGAGGTGGGGAGCCCAGGGGAGTGGCATCCTGCGAAGTGATGAGGGTTTCCCAGTAATGGGACCAGGGTGCGCAGTCAGAGTAGAAACCCCCCCCCCCGTCGGAGGCTGCCACAGTCCTGGCAGAGGCTCACACAAGAGCTGACCCTGCTTTGTGTCCCTTCCCTCAGAGCGATGACTTCACCTTCGCCCCCTCTGGAGAGAAGCCTGCCTCCCCCCTGGAGAGGAACAAACCTGACCAGGAAGTGATCGAGGGTGAAGCCACAGGAGCCTCCCAGGGCATCCTGGACCGGAAGGAGGTTTTAGGAGGTGCCTTTCAGTCTTTTATGAAGTGCCTACTGTGTGCACTGGGGTGGGGGTGCGGATGGAGCAGGGGAGGCTGGGAGTCGAGCTCCCTGGGGGTGGCCTGTGGAGGCCCAATCACAAGACAGCCCTGAATGAAGCAGGGGGCAGATCTGAGGCATCATCTGTTTGGGCGGGGCTTGAGTTTCCCACCTCCAAGTCTTTGTTCATGCTGTTTCTCCTGCCTGGGGGTCCTTCTCCCCTTCAAAGCCAAAGAAAGCTTTCAGTAGGGTTGTCCTCCAAATCTCCGTCTTGTTTGGGATGAAGATTGGTAGACTTGCTCAGTTTGTAGCATCCCCTGGAACACTTCTAGGGGTCTGGCCATGGTGGGGGAAGGGGAGTGACTTCCCGAGACCTGCTCCAGGGCCGTTCAGACTTCCGTTGGGCACAGGGAAGTCCTAAGCCCTGGTGCCAATGGCGGCAAGATGCCGGCTTGCTCCTGACATCAACCAGACAGCTGGAAGTGGGGTGGGGGCCGCAGGGGATGAGAGCTGGGTGAGAAGGGTCAGCCCATTTTACAGATTGGGAGCGGTGGGAATAGAGTAAGTGGGAAGCCCCAGAGCCGGCTATCGGCCCCAGCGTTCAGCCTGCTTGGGTTTCTGAACTGTTCGGGAGGGCTTGTCCTCTGGTGAGGGCCAGCCAGAATCTGGTGGTGATTTCTAGTGTTCTGTTTTGTTCTTTCTCAAAGGGCTAACCGTGCGTGTGTGTGTGTGTGTGTGTGTGTGCGCTCGCTTGCGCTCACGGGTGCCTCTTCCTGCTCCCCCAGGGGTCATTGCTGGAGGCCTCGTGGGCCTGCTCTTTGCCGTCTTCCTGGTTGGATTCATGCTCTACCGGATGAAGAAGAAGGATGAAGGCAGCTACTCCCTGGAGGAGCCAAAGCAGGCCAACGGTGCCTACCAGAAGCCTCAGCGGCAGGAAGAGTTCTACGCCTGAAGGCCCAGCCACCGGTCCTGGAGAGTGGCGGGTGTTTCTCCCCTTCCCTGGCTGCCTTGCCCCCTCGCACACAGACCCCAAACCATCTCTTCCACTCAGGACTTGGAGCCTGGAGTCTCTCCCCACACCTGGCTCTCTCTCCAGCTTTGGCTCTGGCCTGGTCCACTCTGGCCCCGAGCTCTTCAGAGGCTGGAGTACAGCCTCAGTTGCTTCTGGCTGGGTCTCTGATTGCCACCTTGGGCTGGGGTGGGGTGGGGGGCAGGAGGGAAGACTTACATGTGACCTTTCAAAAAGAATGAGACTTTACTCCCTGGTCCTTCCAACCTTGGCCTTGCCAGTTGGCCCCCCTCCCCTCCCTCCAGCCCCTTTCCCTTGCTCTGCCCCCCTCAGCATACCCCTCGCTCTGGCCCCCCTCCCCTTCCTCCAGTCCCTCTCCCCTCCATCCAGTGCCCCTCCCCTTCCTCCAGCCCCCTTCCCCTTCCTCCGGCCCCCTCCCCTCACTCTTCCCCCCCCAGCATACCCCTTGCTCTGGACCCCCTCTCCTCCTTCCAGCCCCCTCCCCTTGCTCTGCCCCCCTCAGCATACCCCTCACTCCGGCCCCCTCCCCTCTCTCCAGCCCCTCTCCCTTCCATCCAACGCCCCTCCCCTTCCTCTGGCCCACCTCCCTCTGGCCCCTCCCCTTGCTTTTCCCCCCACCCAGCACACCCCTCTCTCAGAGGGTCCTCAGTTGGCTAAGGCTGTGGTCAGCAGCTGGTGGTGTTCCACCTTCTGGTTGGCACCAGCGGGTGCCCCTGTGAATGAGCGGCCTCAGCAGCCCCTGCCAGCTCCGAGGAGGGAAGAGGTTCGAACAGCCCAATTTTCCCTTTGTGCCGTGGGCTGGTCTCCCCCAGAAGCCTAGTGACTCTTTTGCACATTCCTCTCACCTCTTGGCCCACGTATAATTGACTGGGCTTTGTTACTTTGGACATAAGTTAACTTCTCCCCCACCGATCCCGTCTGAAGTCCGCAGGGCCCCAGGGGTCAAGGGGACGAGGCTTGATTCGTTTTCCCTAAAAGGTACCGACATTTGAAGCCAAAGCGCAGTTTCCGTTGGTGGTGTCTGCCCCTTTGCTTCGTTAACAACAGGGTATGAATGATCTGGGACTCGTTCCAGGGAGTGACAATAGCTCAGCCCTGGTCCGAGCTCTGCCACCTTCTCCCACCCCCTCCCCCGACCTACGGTACCAAAACAAGGGCACTTAGCCTGTCTCGAGAGCCTCGCACGCTGCCTGTGCTTGGGCTGGGGGATCGGGGCTCACCCATCCCTGGGCCTCCAGCCCCCTTCGCTGGAGGCCACACGGGCGGTACACTTCTCCTTTGGAATTGGGCAGGTGTGGTGGCGGCTGACCTCTGGCTGGCCTCCATCCCTCAGGCCTGGTCAGAGACGGGAATCTTCCTTCCCCTGAGTGGCGGTCGTCTCTGGCTTTCGGCAAAGCTGTACTGAATCCAATGGGTTTTTCCGTGTACAGTAGATTTTCATAATGTAATAAACTTTTAATATAAAGTAATGGGAGCTCCCGCCTCTGACTCTCTCTACTCTGGCTGGGGATGGCGGGTGGGCTTTGGGGTCTGAGCAGGCCCGGCTGGCCTCGCTTTGCTCCCAGCATTCCATGCTGCATCGGAGAGGGGAGATGATGGGGAACCGTGGAAGGTTTCCTAAGGAGCGATCTCTTTCTTGAGCTGATGAGCTGATGGGACTGGAGACCACAGATTTCACATGGGAAACGAGGTCTGCAGCCTCTTGTCTGGGCCCCCAGTGCAGGAGGCATTAGTGATGGGGTCTGAAGCTTGGGTCTCTGACTTCAGAGTTGGGGCTCCCCCACCTCGTTCTCTACCAGTAAGACACCAATTCAAAGGCACAAACAGTGTCCTAGGCCATCCAATTCTTCCCAGAGCCCTGAAGTCACACAGGTGCATGGCCTTTACGCTGGAGGGAGAGCCCTGAGGAGGGTCCTCGGTTGGCCTAGTTGTCACCTTGGCAGGTTGGAAGAGCCTGGCCCGCAGAGGGATGAAGGATGGAGCAGGAGAGGGCAGAGAGGAGAAGGTTAAGGAGGAGCAGCAGCTGTGGCAGACACGGAAACCTTCCTCCTGAGGCACTAGGGAGCCTTTCAAGATGCTAGGGTAGAGATGTTCAGGGCCTCCATCTCCCATCAGCCAGACCTGTCCCCCATGCCCAGGCCCCCATTTATATTCCTGTAGAGGGACATGGCCTGGGGCAGCCTTTGAGATGCCTGCCGGGGCGGTTCTGGGGGACCCTGTCTGCAGGGAGCAGGACCATCCTGGTCAGGGAGCTGGATGGGCAGACAAATGGCTACAGAAAGATGGAGGAATAGAGGAGGGTGGTGGGGTAGGGTTCCAGCAGGGGCGGTTAGGCAGTGTGTAGCACCCACCCACCCACCTCCTACAGCAGACCCCAGCCCCCGCTGTGGTGACTCCCATCTCGGCAGGCTGCCCCAGCCACACCCCACCCAGCTCCCTCCTGGCCCAGCACCGAGTCCACTCCACTGGCTGCCCCTTCCAGGAAGGCTGGAATAATACTTGTTCAGCTTCTTGGCACCTGGGAGGAGGAAGGGAAAGTAGCTGAGAGATGGCAGGAGGGGCTGTGGGACCCACCCGACTTCCACCATCCACAGGCTGGGGAGACACATCCTTTCTTTGTTTTTTCACTTAGTGTTTCCTCTGTAGACACATCTTTACGAATTTAAGTGTTTTTTTGTTTTTAATTATGTCCAGCTTTGCGGGCTTTTAGGTTTACATCAGTTGTGTTTCCTAATGCATCTCTCCCTCCAGCCATCCTTTGTAATAAAGCATGAAAAAGAGAGGAGGAGAGAAAGGCAAACGTGGTACATCCCCCTCTCTGGGGGATTTCCCCATTTTCACTTGCACTGCTGGGGTGGGTTCCCAGGAGGTGCCCACTCTCAGTGGTCCCAGGGATAAGTCTGGATCCATACAGCTAACACTTTCACTCATGAACCCCTGCTGGTGTTTCCTATTATCAGTTAGCTAGTGGCTTAATTAGCTCTTAGCAAATGTATTTAATCAAATGGCATAACAAGAACAGTAGTATCCTCCCTTTGGGGAAGATCCCCATGGCTAGACACCCCTCACCCATGGACCACTGCCCTTCCCTCTGGGGAGCTGGTACACTCGATGTCCAGGGTGCAAGCTTTTGGGCCCTTCCCTTGGGGAGGCGAACTGCTCTGAAGTTTTCTGGTGAATGCAGCCCTCGCTAAGACCCAGTCATTCGCCAGCAGGCAGCCTCAGAGCCCTTCATAGTTCTGGCTTCAAACCATCCTGGATTTGTCTGTTTCCAGAGCAGGAATCCAAGCTGTCAGAGCTGGCAGGGGTCTCAGGGACCCAAACCTTTCATTTTGGGGATGGAGAAACTGAAGCCCAGAGAGGGGAGGGAGAAAATTGTTCAAGGTCATGCAGGTGGTGCAGAGGAGAGCTGGGACCTTAGCTCAGGTGTCCTGACCCCAAATGTGGTGCTCTTTCCCCAGGACTGTACTTCTGCCTCTCCTAGCCTTGGCCAGGGTTCACACAACCCCTGGGGAGCTGAGCTTGCACTAGTAATGTTTAGCCTGGTGCCGGGGCACAAACAACTTCCTCCTTTATCTCCGGTAGGGTACCCTGGTACACCAAGGCCCAAAGGGGAGTGGATGCAGGAGAGTGTAGAGGGGCGTGGCCAGCTCCGGGAGGGGAGAACTTAGCTCCTGGGGGCTGCCTCCTGGGGTAGCTCATTGGGGGTAGCTTCCTGCGATGGGGAGAGTCCCCCTGAGGCCAGGAGACCTGCCTCTGAAGCATCCTGCCTTTGTGACCCTGGCAACTCCCTCTCCAAAGCCGTTTTGGAGGAGTCACCATGTTTGCAATGATCGTCTGGACAGACACAAATGTTAGCTAGGGAGATGCCAAGCTCAGTTGTTTCTAAGTTGTTCAAAGTGCGGCTATCCTCAGGCTTCATGGGGATGGATGGGACATGGCATGAGGGCCGGAGGAACAGGGAGACGGAACCAGAGCAGCCAACATCCCCTCACTGGAGTCAGCACCCTACCAGGCAGGGAGCCCTCAAATCTATCGACCTTTATTGGAGCCTTGGGGGTGTGGGGCCCTCTGCTGGCCTTGGAGCCATGGAGATCCATACGACATGGGAGGTGTCCTCAAGGAGCATAGCTTCTCACGGGGGTTCAGAGCGCTGGGAAGGGAGTCAGAAGCCCTGGGATCAGATCCCGGCTCTGCTACCAAGTCACTGGGTGAATGGGCAGATCCCTTCTTCCCATGCGTCTCATTTTCCTTATCTGACCAATGAATGGAGTGGGCTAGATTATCTCTAGGTCCCTCCCATCTCTGACATTTAATTATTTATTTTTCATTTTGAAATAATATTTTATTTTTTTCCCATTACACTTAGAGACAATCTTTCACATTCATTTTTATAAGATTTTAAGTTCCAAATTCTCTTCTTCCCCTCCCCCTCCCTAAGATGGTAAGCAATTTGAAATAGGTTCTTTATGTGCAATCATACAAAGCATATTTCCATATTAGTCATGCTGTGAAGGAAGAAACAGAACAAAAGAAAAAAAGATGAAAAAATTAAAAAGTGAGAAGCATCTGCTTCGATCTGCATTCAGACTCCATCAGTTCATTCTCTGGATGTGGAGAACATTTTCCATCATGAGTATCCTGGAATTTTGACATTCTCTTCTAAGACATCCCCCATCCCCCTACTACAGCCTCCTATAGCTCTGACATTACATGTTCTGTGGTACAAGTGTGGGGATCCCCACCCCTCCAAATTGCACAGGGCGTGCCCCAGAAGAGCTACCTCAGGTTCAAGTGACGTGTGCATTCAAAACAATAGCTTACAAGCCCCACCAGTGGGTTTGCTTCTAATAGTCAGTGCAAGGTCATAATTAGTTCATAGCAAAGGCATTTAATGAGATAACATAGCAAGAAAAGTGGTGTTAGAGCATCCCCTCCCTAATTCTGGGGTGTCTTTTTTCACAACTAAGCCCATTCTGAATAGGAAGAGTGGACACATGTGGGAAACCACACATTTAAGTGACATTCATATACACAGCATCCATACGCAAGGGTGCTGGTGGGCATAGGGCCTGTGTTCTTGTACTTACATAGGCTTTCTTGTCAGGATCCTTCCCAATGCCTGCAGGTTTCTGGCTGGTTCTTTGTGCAGTCCTGGCCCAGATGTAGTCACTTCCTGTGGTTTCCCTTGGGATTTCTTGATCATTATTCAATCTGGTACCTTTCTAAATCTTTATTGGAGGGTGTGTGGAAGATCTGAGCTCCTCTATGACTTTTCCTTCTTTCTCCCTCCTCTCCTTCTTTCTTCTTTTTCCTTCCTTCCTTCCTTCCCCCCTCCCT